AAGAAAACTCGGAAAGACTGTTAAATGAGCTCAGGAATAAAATTAATGAATGGAAGGAGTACTTCACCAAAGATTGAAACTCTAAAGAAAAAACCAAACAAAAATTCTGGAGATGAAGAACATAATTAATGAGATGAAAAATAAAGTAGAAAGCATTGGAAATAGAACAGACAATATGGAAGAGAGAATTAGCAAGCTCAAAGATAGAAATCTAGAAATGATTCAGGCGGAAGAGGAAAGAGTACTAAGATTTTTAAAAAATGAAGAAATTCTACAAGAAATATCTGACTCGAATACAAAAAGCAACATAAGGATAATGGGTATCCCAGATGGAGAAGACGGGGAGAAAGGAGCAGAGAGCTTATTCAAAGAAATAATAGCTGAGAACTTCCCAAACCTGGGGATGGAACTGTATATACAAGTGCATGAAGATAATACAACTCCTAATTATCTCGATGCAGAAAGACCTTCTCTAAGGCATATTATATTACAACTGTCAAACGTCAATACAAAGAAAGAATATTAAGGGTGGCCAGAGAGAAGAAAATAACTTACAAAGGATCCCCATCAGGTTATCAGCAGATTTCTTGGCAGAACCTCTACAGACTAGGAGAGAGTAGAATGATATATTCAAAATATTGAGGGCTGGCCCAGTGGTGCAGCGGTTAAGTTCGCGTGCTGTGCTTCAGTGGCCTGGGGTTCGTGGGTTTGGATCCCGGGTGCAGACCTACACACTGCTCATTAAGCCATGCTGTGGCGTCATCCCACATACAAAATAGAGGAAGATGGGCACAGATGTTAGCTCAGGGCTAATCTTCCTCAAGCAAAGAGGGCAAGATTGGTAACAGATGTTAGCCCAGAGCAATCATCCTCACCAAAATATATATATATATTTCTATACATGTATATATATATAGAAAGACTAAAACTACCAGCCAAGAAGACTGTATCCAGCAAAGTTATCCTTCAGATATGAAGGAGAAATAAAGGCTTTCCCAGGCAAACAAAAGCTGAGGGAGATCATTGCCACTAGACCTTACAAGAAATGTTGAAAGAAGCCCTACTACCTGAAACAAACAGACCAAGTTTTATAAAGCTTTGAGCAAGGTGATAAATAGACAGAATGAGAAAATTGCAACTCTGTATCAGAATAAGTTAGTAAACACTTAATTATACATAAAGGTTAAAAAGAAAGGAAGCATTAAAAATAACAATAACTCATTTGGTAACAAACTCACAATGCAAAAAAGGATGATTTGTGACAACAAAAACATAGATGGGGAAGAGGAAAAGGGCAGAGCCTGTGTAGGCTAATGGAGATAAGATGCTAAGAGCAGAAAAAGGACTGTCTCATCTATGAGATCTTTTACACAAACTTCATGATAACCAGAAAATAAAAAATCAGAGCAGAGTCAGAAATCATAAATAAAGAGGAAACTGAGAAAAACATCACAGATAACCACCAAACTGAAATGGCAGGCAGAAATACAAGGAAAAATAAACAATGGAAATATAAAATGGCAATATTAAGCCCTCATCTATCAATAATAACTCTAAATGTAAATGGATTGAACTAACCAATCAAAAGACACGGAATGGCTAGATGGATTTAAAAACAAGACCCAACAACATGCTGCCTCCAGGAGACCCATCTCAGCTCTAAAGACAAACATAGGCTCAGAGTGAAGGGATGGAAGATGATATTCCAAGCAAATGGCAACCAAAAGAAAGTAGGAGTAGCCTTACTTATATCAGACAAAACAGACTTCACGCTAAAAAAGATAACAAGAGACAAAGATGGACAGTATGTAAGGATAAAAGGGATATTCCACGAAGAAGACATAACACTTATTAATACATATGCACCTAGCATAGGAGCACCAAAGTATATAAGCAACTGTTAAAGCACTTGGCACAGTTCTCCCAAATGACTATCAATGGTGGTGCTTTCACCAAGACAATTCGAGGTCTTAACTCCTTTTCTTTGATAGTTCTCCACACATAGCACATTCTGTGTAAAACATTAAGCTGATAGAAATCTCAGATCATTTCTCCCCCTAAGCATAGTTAAAGGTTTTTTATACATTTGAAAAGAATAAGAATGGCAAAATGAAATGGGCAAGAGAGAAAGGACATGGGAAGGAAACTGACATGAGGGCAGAACGTATATGGAAGCTATTCTGTGTAAGATCTGGGAACAATTAATGTACAAATGTCAATGACATTTGTCCCCTAGAGCCAAATTATTTTGAAAAGTCTTTAAATACAATTTTAAAATGTTTTGTTTTTCAGGCACCATCTATCATATGTTAATATCACATCTTTCACGTCAAATCTCAGACTTGAATCTGAAGTTATTCCTTGAGCATCTGAGGATAGAAATTGAACTTCTATGATGGTAGTAGGGCATGTCAAGACAGGTCTGAACATAAAGGGAATTATTATTTCACATTTTCTGAGGATCCCGGAGAGAGAACTATCTTCTTAAATTGAGCACTAATATTTTTCCTTTGATAGAAACTTAAATTGCAAAAAAAATCTGTTTGTTAAAGCCTACCTTCTTTTTCTTAGATATCACTCCTGCCAGTGGCAATGTGGAAATTTGTTCTTTATCTCAGTAGAGGACATTATGCTGATCATTTTAGGTAAAAAAAAGAGTTTCATTGTCTTCTAAACAGTAGTTTGTCTGAAAAAAAGCATATTATTTTCTCTTTAAAAATAACTTAAAATGTGAATAATCTCAGGTGAGATTTTCTTAGCTGGCAGGGAAGACATGTTAAACTATTTGCAACAAATAAAAGACATTCTTTTACATAAGGTAGAAAAGCTTTCCATCTCAAAAGTCTTGAATTTAGAGTTAAAAGTCGTAAAAACTCAGAATTCATGCTATATCCCTCATCTTCCTCACCCCAAACACTCTGTGTCGGAAGTCCTGCACCTTCTCCCTCCGTACCAGCTGTTCCATCTTTTCTTATCTCGCCAAACCCAAGCCCGTAGTCTTACTTTAGGCCTCCATCTCCTCTTGCCTAGACCTTGGACGTCTTCTCACTGGGCTCCCCATTTCCAACATTGCGCCCCCCCCCCACCTTTGTAGTTCTGTTGATGTGATCTATCTGAAACGAATCCCATCAGGTTGCTCCCCTGTTTGAAAACTTACTGTCTTCCATTGCTTAGAGAAGGAAGTCCAGACTTCTTCTTTGCCATGCCAGGGGCTCGTGACCTAGCCTTTGGCCATTCCTGTGTTCTTAACCCTACTCTCAAGCCCACCACCCTCACCCCATGCCAGAAAGAGCTTGCTATTTCCAGCATCTACCGGGCTGTTTAATTCTCTGTATCTTTGCTCAATCTGCTTTGATTATCTTCCCCCGCCCCCATTTTCCTTATAAACATTCATCTTCTAGACTGCACTCAATGCTAACTCTCTGACTCACCCTGCCTTACACACATAGAGCTGACTTCTCTCCCCTTCAAGTCTCCTGCATATTCTGCAGAGACTTGTGGACATAGTGCTGTCCTATTTGATTGCCTTTGTTCACGTGGCCATTTCCCACTTCCAGACTTAACCTAATCGAGATTAAGACTGTATGTTACCTAGCAAGTAGTAGTGTGCTTGGCATCTAGCATGCACTTAACATATATTTGTGGAAAGGAGGAAGGAATGGAGAGATCTGGGTTGGAGCTGTGGGCTTGCCAGGTATGAGAACTCTGAAGAGACCTGTAATCTCTCTGAGCTTAATTTACTTTCCTGTGAAATGACAGTAATATTGTCAACTCTTTCATTGCACTTAGAAGAAAACCCTTCATACGTAGCCTGATAGCCACCCTCAATACCATCTGCCCTCTGCTTTCCTCTGTGACCTCATTTCAGGCCTCCATCCCCCTCCTTCTCAATTTTCCAGAGGAATTTGCCTTCTGATAGTTTCCAGAATGTGTCAAGCTGTTTTCACACCCCTCCCACACCCCTTGCACACACCACCTTTGCACTTGCTGATTCTTCTGAATGGGAGGTGCTGCCCCAAACTTTGCTGGGCTGCCTGCTTCTCATCAAACATCACCTCCTCAGAGAGGTCTTGATTAATCCCCTCTCTTAAGTAGATCTCTCCATGTTATGCCTGGTTATTTATTTATTTTTTTTACTTTATAGTATTTTTTTTTTAACTCTATACATTGTACTTATTTTATGTATCTGTTTTCTTTTTTTTTTTTTTTTGGTTGTATTCCCCACTATAATGTCAACTCTAGGTCGGCGGGCAAAGATCACATTGGTCTTGTTCTTTGTTTCATCCTAGGTCCTGACACATAGCAGGCTCGTAATAAGTATTTATTGACTGATATGTGAACTAACCTCAAAGGGTGGATTTGAAGATCAGGTACAGTATGTAAGTGAAGTTTATCAACCAAAAGCACTATACAGATGGGAAGCAAGTTATTATCTTAACTGGAACATCATGGAGGAACCTGGGAAAATATGTGCCAACTTCCGTTCTCTCAGGAAATGAATATACAGCTTAGCAACAAGTAATTACTCATTTTCCGAGCATGGAATCTCAGTCTGGGTGACCAGGCCAGCAAGAGAAGTCTCCTCCACACCAAGGGGGGTGGGGCACGTATTATTTCCTAACGCATTTTCTGCCATAGCTGACTAGAATACTGGTGATAAAGAAGAGAATGCTAGTACTTTCAATGAAGGAGGCAGATGGCTTGGGCTCTGGGACCTAGGGGCTAGCCAGAGGAAGTGGATCTTCACTCTACTCACTCTATTTTCAGTGTGAAAAGACTCTTCATTCTGGACAATTCATTAAAATAGTATATTTCTGGGTTAGGCAGCTAAAACACTCCAGTGCAGGATTGGTAAATAGATGATCAGAAGGGGAGAGACGGGCCACGATTTTCTGCCTAGTTTTCCCAGCAGCATACCTTTTCTGTGCCTCCTTTCCCCTCTCTGCACCCAGTCTTCTTATCTGTAGAATGGGGATAGTAATATTTACTTAATAGAGTGGTTGTCAATACATGTAAAGAGTTTGAAACAGTGCCTAGCATGTAGTAGGCTCTTAATAAGTGCTATTTTTATCATCATTAGCCCACCATTTCTTATAAAGATGGGCTATATTCACAGGTCCCAATTTTTCCCATCTAGGGAGAGTAAGAGGAGTAAGGTAGATTCTCAGGATGTCACCTAAATGTCAAACACATTAGCATAAGTGTGATGACCAAGACTCAGAATTCTTAGGGTGCTCCTGTCTATCAGATCAAAACCATCTTTCCCTAGTCCTTCTTGCTCATGGCTGTTGGATCAGAAGTAGCAAGACGATATGTCTTTGGGTTATTTTCCGTAAGACCCAGAGGGCTCTAATGATGATTATAATGCTCACTATTTTATATGACGAAGAAGTAAAGTTTAATAAATCATAATATTCTTATGACTAGATTGTATTGATCAGTTTACAATTATTTTTAATTTTTAATTTTAGACCAGAAAAATTGCAAGAATAGTATAGATATTTTTCATATACTCTTCACCCAGCTTCTCCTAAGGTTAACATCTTACATAATATCATAGTAAAATGATCAAAACTAAGAAATCAACACTGGCATATTACTATTAACTAACGTACATACTTTATTTGGATTTTACCAATTTTTCCACTAACTTTTTTTTTTTTTTGGGTTCCAGGATCCTTATAGTTACCCCAAATATTTTGGAATTCCTTTTTCCAATTGTGTTCAAAACAGCCTACAAGTTACTCAAGATAATAAGTTGCTTTACTTTATAGTCACATCTTATGTGTTGGTACTAAATGACCTTATCCAGTTTGATCCCTCACTTTATCTATCACACTTGACTCTGAATAACTTTTGGCTATTTCAAATATGCTTCTAGAGGATAAAAGTTTTCCATCTCTTAAAGAATGAACCTTTGAGGATGTGAAGAATGTGTTCCAAGGATAATGTAATTCCAAAGAGGACTCTCTCTGCCCCACACTTCTCCTCTCCCCTAACACAAGACTTGAAGCAATTGCAGCATTGTTAAAAGAACTAGTCATCAAAAGCTCATCTATTGTCCAAGGATACACATTCATTGATGGTTTGTTTTGCTTAGAATACACCTTGAATATAGAGGAAATCTCAAAGGGGCGCAAAGTCCTTAAGATCCCTGACAATATATTTGTGAATTGATTAAGGATCCTGTATTCTTGCTTCAGTTTCATGTTTAGAGAAATGGGAATTCCTAAAGAATAAAGGCATATTCCTCTAATAGCAAGCCAGTCATATACCGTTCTTCATTCCCAATGAGGCTGCTACTGCTCATGTACTTCTCCCTGTCTAAAATCCCTCAACGACTTGACGACAAGGCAAGGATAGAACCTGGTGATTCGGCAGGAGCCATACTAGATTGGAATCGGGAGACCTGGTTAGCAAGCCAGGTGTCAATCAAATGAGGCAAGGCCTTTAAAAGCACTTGCATAGTATCTGGCACCAATTGGCACTCAAATGTTGATTCGAATCTCAAATTTAGAAGTTAAAGCTGTAGAAGTCAAGGCTTACTGTATTTTATATACACAGTTTAATAATGGGATAAAAATGTATGCTATTAGAGGTCAGGCTTTTAATAACCCACTACAGTGATTCTCTTAATTCTTAATAAAAAAGTGTAAAAAAGATGAAAGAATCTAGCCTGTAATTATTCTGCCAGGTCATGAGGTAAAAGCAGGTAATTTTAGAATGTTCTATAACCGTACTTTTAACCACAGATTGCATTAAGTCAGGGTAGTAATTTTTCAGGTCTCCTATGGCAGGATTTATTTTCTCAATATAGAAATGTTCAGTTCGTCATGCAAAAATTGTATATAGGTTAGACCTCTTCTCCATGCCCCCATATTTCTTTACTTCCATCTACCCACGCTCATCCACAGCATACATGCAATGCACGTATGCGTGCATGTTCACACACACACACACACACACACTTACTCCTCAGTACATGCAAATTAAAGCTAGGTAGGTATAATTGGTCACCTTGTACCTTATAATTTGGATTTTAGAAAAAAACTCACTCTTTTGTTTTTCTCCTTTCGAGAAAACTATGGAGAAATATATTAGCATCCTCAAATTTATTGGCCTCATGAGTTCCCTTTCTTCCCTCGCACGTAAACCTTGTAGTCTTGCCGAGGCTTTCTAAGGTCGGCATGTCAAACGCAGATTACAAGCCCCCATGGGCCGGATGCACACTGGCCTCTTGGCTTTTTACAGAACCTTACATTGCCTTGTCACCAGCTTGATGTTAAAGCAAATAATACTAGCATCCTTAGTAAGGCCTTTGCTCTGAAAACCGAGGAAATTCAACCACAATAAACATGCTGAGGATAAAATCAGGCACTGCTGTAATTATTAGGTCAGAGGCAGGTAAGCGCAATTATTTCTGTGCTGAACAAAGACAGGTGGGGAGTGGCTGGCTCTGCAATGAGAGGGCAAGGGCCGTGAGGGCGGGGATGCTCCATCTACAAGCCTGTGCGTGTCCAACACCCACCTACTGCCTCCTATGTATTTTTCCCCTCTATGCTTTTCTTTGTTTTTAAAAGCAGTACTAAATTGCTTAGCATTTTTTTCTCTTCGCACTTCTTTCTGTGCTTACAGGCAAGGACAGTAAATTAAGCATATCTAAGGATTTAACGCTCAAAATCACCTTGGATAATTGGCTTAAGGGGTTGAAGCATGCTTTTTCCCTCCATCTCCTGAGTCTTCATGCAATTTCTCCTCTGAGGGTACATCTGTCAATAATTGATGGAGCTTTCTTGGGTAAATGAGCTGTTGCTTGGGACATTATAAATCATATTTGGAATCAAGTTTATTTTCAAGCTGCTTTTAAGGTCTTGATGCTGTGCTCACTGAATAGAAAATGCTAAATGTTCGAGGGAGTAGTACAAGCCCTCAAGGGCTAAAGGCATGAGCTGGATTTAAGAAGACAAATGGAATTTATAGCCTCTCCGGAAACAAGAACACGTCTGTCTTCGCAGAAAAGCATGTAGGTTTGGCAAGGGCCTCCTAGAAGGAAACTGCCTGAGGACCTACTGTGTGCTGAGCACTGTGACCCATTCTACAGATGAAGAAACTGAGGCTCGGAAAGGTTGATCACCTCCTCAGTGCATGCTCTGCAGCAGTGAGCAAGCGGTAGACCTGAAATTGGAATCGATTGAACTGTGAAGTCCTTGCTCTTCTCATTCCTCCAAGAGTCAGACACGCTCTGTGACATGGTCTTCAGTCTGCATTCAGTGGCGTCCTGATGCTTTGCATGTATTTGGTGTTGAGACTCAGGCCAGTGGCTCTTATCACCAAAGCTCTTGCAGATCTCTCAGCTCCCCTCCAACCAGTGCAGCTCCACTTTTATCTGTTTTGTACAGAGGGCTTCGGCATGAAATTTTGATTAAAAGGCTCTGTTGCTAAAAGAAGTTTGAAAACCACAGCTGCATGAGAACAGTAAAAATCCATCTTATAAAATAAAGACATCAGCATATGTAAGAACATGTCTGGTATGTAACAAATTAGGAAATATTCAGCTCCTTTCTCTGCTTCAAAATACCCAAAGAACATTCTAGAAGGACCCTGCTCTAAACATTGCTACAGGGTGAGAGCTAAGCTCAGACTCAGAGTCCCAGGATTTCATTTTTGCTCAGACGTGAATCTACTGTGTCTTGTTATTTTCTCTTCCTCAGTTTCCACTTCTGTGGGCTGCAGATAATACCACCAGCTCTACTAACCTCAGAACCTTGTTGTGATGATCAAAGAAGACCAAAGATAAAAAGAAAGTATCTAAAATATAATGCATTGTGACTACTGCATTTCTATTTTTCAGTCATCTATCTGAACCCTTTAGTTAACGTTTCAAAGGCAAAATGTTACGCGTTGAGGATATTTTAGCATGGGACAGATGGGAACGTAAAAGGCATAAAACCATTTTTAAAAGCTCATTCAGAACAATTATTTTAGAGATAATGGTTTATTAAGTTCATAATATTTGCCCTTGAGTTTTAGCTGTTCACAATATTGGCTGCTGCAAATTTTCAAACTTCCTAGTGAAAAGATACAGGATGAATCACTTTGCCTTCTTTTCCCTTTCCTAATCATCAGAGCAAGTATACACTAGATTTGAAAGGATGAAATGGCTGATATGAGACCAGAATTACCACCTGACTCATGCTGATTGCGATAAGGAGTTGTTTCCTGAATGTCTTTCTTCCTGTCATTCTTGCTTCCTTCCACTCTCTTCCTCCTACTTTTCTTCCCTTCTTTCCAGCAAACATTTGTTAGACACTATGTGCACATATGTGTAGGATATAGTCTTTGCTCCAGCATCTAAATACACACTCACTGGGATCAATATTATGCCATGTCTGCCTTCCCCTTAAATGATATCACTGCAAACAAACACCGTGGGAGCCCAGAGAGTGAGAAGCCCTGTGTGCCCAGGGAGGTCTGACAAGGTTTCTTGGTGAATGTTTAGCTGCTAACAGCGTGGATGATTCATCTCCACCTTTCTTCGACTTCTTTGCTTCTAATTACTTCCATTTCAACCCATTTGAAATCTACTCATTCTCTTGGGCCTTGTCAATACACAAGGATGCTCCTCTGCTGAAATCCTGAGGACTTTCTATATTTCATCATCTCTGAGTTATCCCAGCTTCATCTGTTTTTTTGACATCACTAGGACCTCAGATCTGTAGACACCTGTCTCCCTGATTCTCCTTCTTCCCTTTCTTTCTCAATGCCCCTCCTGCTCTCTCCCTCTGCTCCCTTTATCTCCTTCTCATTCCCTTCCTCTTCTTCCCTTCCCTTGGGGAGATTAGTGACAAGAAGGTTAGATTGGTTATGGGAGACCTGTGGAGAATGTATGCTGAAAGTTGAGAAGAAAACAAAATTGAGAACCAATAGTTTCATATTTTAAACATTTTTTTCCCATTTTTCACTAAATCCTCTTCAGATTTTCTGTAATATTCTTGAATTGCATTTTCAATTATTTTGGTCCAAAGAAGGAGCAAATAGTTTCTAAGTAGTACCTATGGGGGCCAGCTCTTCTTACAGACAAGATGGCAATTGATAGTGCTAGTCTGGGTTGTGCAATTAATGTCACTTGACACAACCAGACCTATTTCTTAAGGATTCTGTTTTCTGGGGCATTCTGTCTCTCTGCCATTCTAGGACAATAGCTCCAGCAAGCACTTCCTGCAGCAGAGGCCAGATCTGCAGCACACTTAAGTGTAAGGGTGTGTCTGCTGTGAATTAAAAGGAGAATTAAATTACAGAGAAAGATTGAAATGAAAATTGCAGGAGCCCACTCTCTTTCCAGCCACGTACCTAATCATGTCCACTTTTCCCTGCTGGGCTGTTTTTCTTTCTTGAATCCCAGTAGTAGGCCCACACTGTCGTGGCAGGTCTGGGTCAGGAGGAGTATGTCCTAAGGTCTCTGAGTGGCCTGCTGGCAGTCTGTTGAGGCACACAAAGCACACTGTCTCTGGAACCAGATTGCACTGTTCAAATCCCAGTTCCATCGCTTACTGTCTGTCAGCTTGGACATGTGACTAATCTCTCTAAATCTCTTTATATATTTTTTTAAATCTGTAAAATGGGACAAATAAAATTATCGTTGTCTCAGGGTTGTGTGAGGATTAAAGGAGATAATGATATCTCTGTCTGACCCATGATAATGATAATAGCTGGCATTTATTGTAGGTATTGAAATTCCCACAGTAATGAGAGTTGGACACTGAATGAAGGTGAACTTTCTGTGATCCACCTGCAGTTAGGTGTTAGTCCAGGTGAATTTAAATAACTCCTTTTGGTGCTGGTTTTTCTTAGACTATCACTAGATAATCATCCTGGCTGACATTGAGTCAGAACTTCAATGGCTCATTTGATCCTCCTCAGGATTCCGCAGGATGGGTGACAGTGTCCCCACAGTGAAGGCGAGACTCATGAGGCTTAGAGATGGTCTGTCTGCCGCTAAAGCCTGGGGTCACCAACCACACCGTGGTTTTTGATCAGCCAGTTATTGTAACCAGGGAGCTCTTTTCTGAGATTGCCTGCCACCTCCACACTAGACGGTGGAATGTCCCCTTTCCACCTGCTTTGGCACTTACTCAAAATTCCGGTTGTTCGTTTACTCACTCCTGTGTCTTCTGTGTACTCAGGGATCATATCCTCTGGCTTCTTTGCCCGTGGGAAGTGCCCTTTGCAGCTCTAAACCTGTCCTTTCTCTAAGGTCGGGCTCAGAACCGAGCTTCTCTAAGAAACATTTACTTGGTGGTTAACATGCATCCTCCGCCTAGTGCCACATTGATCTCCCCTTTTATGAATTCTTATTTGTGCATTTAAAACTGTATAACTTTGTAAGCACTTAGTCATTTTTATATTGAAGTCATCATCATCATCATCACATTTATTGACCCCTTGCTTGGTGCTAAGCACTTTACAAGCATCATCCCACTTAACTTCATGAGAACCCTACTAGTTATGGTCATTTGTTCTGCTCCTCATTTTATAGAAGAGGAAATTGAGACTGAGAGAGGGTAAGTGACATTCCTAAAGCTGCAAAGGTGATGGAGCCAGGATTCAAATATTCTCACTCTGGAGCCTAATCTCTCATTTACCACATCTGCCACCTGCTTTAGTCTTGTGCTCTCAAATGCCAAGTGAGGTGGCCCTGGAGTTAATCCTGTAGCACCAAGGCACACAGTGAGGGGAGTTTCACTGATTGGTTCGCTCAGTGGATATTTTGAGAACCTAAATTGTGCTTGGCATTGAGGATGATACAAACAAAGGCTAATTCTGACTAACCCTCACCTGACTATCTTCACAGGGGCATATTAAACCACTCAGTCCATAGAAGGTGCTTCAACCTCCCTCCGGCCTGTAGAATGAGGGATGAAGAGCTATTGACTTCTAATCAACCAGGGAATAAATCAATGGGTGGGTGTCCAATACCTTGAATTGATGATATTAAGTTTCTACTACTCCATTTCTGGCAGTCAGTTGGAGCCATTGACTGCAATAGTTACCTTAACTATTATTTTTGGGGGGAGGCCTTTCAGTTTCTTCCATGTCTGAAGATAAATGCCTGCAACTATTTTCTTGAGAAGATGAAGTTGTACATGAAAGAGGAGATCATTAACAGCAAGGATAAGGAGACAGTGGAAATTGCAAAGTAACTTGGTTTTCTGCATGCAAAATCAATGTACTCATAGCAATCACTGGAGGCTTTGCTATATGTCAGGCACTGCTCTACATACACCTTTCATGTGTTGAGCGTATTTAATCCTCACAACAACCCTACAAGGTAGAAATACTTATCTTCAGATTATCATAGATTTTTAAATAGTCTCAGATTAAAGAATGTGTACCAGTTCACACACGGCCAAGATCATCACTTAGTCAGCCTAACAGCAGTGGCCAACTACTAACCATTTAACTGCAGTCTGAAAGGCTGGAGAAGATGGTGGATAACTTCTCCTTACAGGTCTTGATGGCGAGAGGACAGGAAAGGGAACAGAAAGAGAAAGGACCTATCTAACCTTGGTTGAACTCCAAGCAATATGAAGGCACTTCATGTATCGAAAACTCCTTGAGATAAAAATTATTTCTTCCCTTTACAGATGAAGTGGCTTTTTTAATGTCACTCTGTGGGCAAGTGTAGAATTCAGCTTTGAATCAACCTGTGCTCCTTCTGCCACCCTGAGGGGTTTAAATAGGAGACCCTTCTTATTCCATAGGATATCTATGATCCATGGCAACATTTAAATTCTATGCTAATTTCCTTTTGATAAACAGCTTATGTCTTGGAACCCTGTTTGTCTAGGCTTAATTAAGAAAGTATATTTGCTACAAAAAAGACAATGAAAATTTGAGTGATAGGGTAGAACAAAAGATCACTCCCTGGATCAAGGTTGAAAGGTGGTGCTTTTCAGGGTTTCGTGTCCTGTTCTTAACTCTTTCATCACCTAGCTATATGGGGAAGAGAGAAGGCCACTTTCTCTTCCTGGGGTTTAGTTTCTACAATGGACGTGTTGGCTGAGATGGTCTCAGTGTCCCTTACAATCATAGAATTCTGTGGTGGTTTCAAGGCTAAACTGCATAGAGTTTGAGCTTTGGAAAGGCCCTTGAGAATTCAATTCCATCTCCCAATCCCTCCACACCTTTGCATACCTAATGCAGGCCTCAAGTAGCTTGGATTCTTCCACAGTCTTTTAGTTGGTCTTTAGATTTCCAGTCTTGCCCCAACACCCAAAACAAGTATTGTATATGAAATATTTTTGTATTATACAAGGCTAAATAATCCATTGAAAAAATGTTGAACTATTGTGATGCTTTTTACTTACTCAGTTAATGACCTCTCATGGGGAGATATAGGGCTATCATGAGTATGGGATCTGTGTCACCAGCTTTCCCCTCAGACGTTTTGGTAATGATCTGTCCATATGTAAAGCACAAGTCTGACCAGGTCACTTCGTTGCCTCCATTTATATTGCAATTACCTATTTTATCTGTTTCTCCCACCAAACTGGAAGCCTGTTAAAGGAACAAGGCCTGTGTCTTACTCATCTTTGTATTCCCAATACTTGCATGGTCTCTGGCACACAGTAGATGCTCAATAAATGCTTGCTGAATAAGTGAATATGTTGACTCCTCAGTGATAAAGAAGTATCAGGCTCTAATTGCTAAGACATTTTTCTTTATATTCAGCTGAAATTTCCTTCTTGATTGGCCCAAATTTTGACTCCTGGAATTATTAAGAACAATTCCATTTCTTCCACTTCAATATAACCTTTTAAGTATTTGAATTCGGTTAAATCTTCTATTCTCTTGGCTAAATATGCTTAGTTATTCCATGTATCTTCCTACGCCTGGATTACACACTCCCTCACCCTCCTGCCTGGCCTCGCTCGCTTGTGTTCTAGTCGTCCCTTTTGAAATGAGATGCCCAGATCAGAACTCAAGGTTCCAGTAATTATTCTGAGTGGCAAGCAGCCCCAGGGGGACAAGTCCCTCTTCTGCCCTGTATACTAAACTTAAAAGTTACCTAAAAGTTGCATAAGGTAGTAACTGACTTTGGTAATATAATACATAGAATAGAATAACACGTGCAATAAATATACATATAATGAAATATATTAATATATTTTAAATATAATAAAAAATATGACAGAAATACCAAAAAGTTCCCAGTACTTTATCTGATAAATCTCTTACACTAACACTGGAGGGGGAGAAGGTCCTGCTGTTATTACAAACGAGGAAACTCAGAGTGGAGAGAGGGTTATGTTACGTTTTGAAAGGCATAATAAGGAAGCAAATGGTGGAGACATGACTGGGTCCTGGACTGACTTGAGACTTGTTTAGAGCAAGCCCCATGTTCTAAACCACCAGCTATAGCCCAATGCCCCAAGGGCCTTCTGGGAGCTTCCTGAAACTAAGTGCAAAATGAACTTGTTTCTAAGGTGACGGTACTTAATTTTTATCATGCTCTCTAATCCTTGACCCCAAAGAGGTTAAGAACCATTGTGTTAAATGTAAACTGACCTTGAGCTTGTAGCCAAATGCCAAATTCATTTTCCTATAAACTGGTCTTAAATATCTTCCTTCCACTTGTGTCACTGGATCTTTAGCATAGTGCTAAAGATCTATTCCCTTTAGCACAGTATACTTATCCCTGCTGAATTTCATCTTCATACTTCCATCTGTTTCAAGGCAATTTCTTTTCATCCTGGCACCTCTGTTAACATATTTGCTATTTCCTTAAATAATCTGATGAGCACAATGCTCTTGATCTTTATCTAAATCACTGCTGAAAATGTGGGCTGGCCCAGGGGAGGGTCATGGCTATGAGAGTGGTTTCCAAAGCCTGTGTCTCCTCTGCATTTATTGTTCTCCTCAGATGGCTCCCCGGGAATGAAAGAGTTTTAATGTGGAGGTAATCTCTTGTTCTCTACCAGCGGCAGCCTTGCTGTGTCTCTGAGTCCAGATTTCTGCGAGGGCCCTCTTGGTACTCTTCACATGAGACTTTGTCTTACAGGGGCATTTACCTTCTGCGTTCTTCAGTATCTTAGTATCCCACTTGTCCCTCCATCAAAGGCCTTCTAGCTAATCGGGAGTTGTTTTCTTGTCACTCTTTTGAAGCACATCCCTTCTCCCCGCTAACCCCCCAATAGTCTCTGAGAAACCAGGCCCCTGTCTGGTATCAGGTCACAGAGATGAGATCAACCCCAACTTCTGTTTTCCAAGTTTTCCCGTGACTTGAAAGAAAAACAGAACTCTGACATGAAGTGTGAGACAGATTCAAGGCTTCCTGTTTATTTTCCAACAAATGTGCTGCATCTGGAGACGCTAAAGGAACTCTTCAAGCACACATAGTTCAATTTCAGAAGAAAAACTATCAATGGTTTTAAATTTTTCTGCAAGCTTTAGACTGATTTCTTATCTTCTCTGTGGTTGGCAATGATCTACATCTTTGCACTATTTTTAATCTTTTAGGTCTCCTATCTACATTTTGTCATCTCTTATTTTCCTCCTAGGTAACAAGCATTATATGATTCTATATTCATGATTTTTAGCTTTTATTTTACCCCATTTTTCAAAGCGATCTTTTCCCATCAAAGGCTCCATCTGCTGATTGATTCTGATCTCCGCCTTTGAACCCTTCCGACCTTCTGTAATAGAATTTTAATTGTTTTTTTTCCCCCAGTTTCATGTGAATCATGTTATGTTTTTGTTATTGCTTAGAAAATATGTAAGCATGGCTCGTGATTGCCTG